ACCCTAGAAAACTGTACCCCATATGTGCTACCCCACTATAGCCTACAAACATGCATCAGCTATGATAATCTGACAGCGTCAGGGCGGCAGGGCAGGGCCGCGACGGCGGGGCCTCAACGGCGACGACGACGGTGATTGCACCGGCGGCTGCAGGCTCGACGGCGGCAGCAGGGCCGCTACGGCGGCAGCAAGGGCGACGGCTGCTGCATGCCACGGGGCCTTGGCGGCTGCTGAAGGGTAAGGGGCCGCGACGTGGGGCGGCAGGTCAGGGGCCGCGACGGCGGCCGCATGTCAGGAGCCGCAACGTAGGGCGGTGGGGCAGGGTCGTGGCGAAGGGCAGCAGGGCAGGGCCGCGACGGCCGGCAAAGTAGGGCCGCGACGGGCGACAGGGTAGGTAGGGCCGCGACAACGGGGCTGGCAGGCTGCTAAGGGCGGCGACGGCAGGGCGGGCAGCTAAGGATGACGACTGCAGGGCGGGCCGCTAAGGGCGGCGAGATCGGGCCTCGACGGGCCGTAGGGGAAGGGCGCGACGGGCCGCAAAGGGAAGGGCCGCTAAGGGCGGCACTAGGGCGAGGCAGGCGCGACGCGTGCTTCGGGCAGGGCAGTAAAAAATAAAAATAACACAGTGGGCCCTAAAAAAACGTTCCCACTCGGGAATCTTCTCTGAAACCATGTCACAAGGTATGAAATGAGAATGACTAGAAACAGGGCAGTACAAGGTTTGTATAGGCAAAACCTAACAATACTATACCCCTTAAGGAGTGCCCCACTACAGCCCACAATATAGTTCTGACAACCCACACATTCCGGAATCACGACCAAAGATTTTCAGGACAGTTCCTTCGTCGTCCTGCTACAGACGACAATGTCAACAGGTTCAACATGTGACGAAGTGGAGTTTTTTGGGTGGCAGCACCTGACAGCTGGAGATACTGCAGCAATCGGGGATTTCGATTATGCCACAGCAACACGCCAACAGCAGCAGTTTCGGGGTTGCAGGTACTGGCAACGGAAGATACTGCAGCAGAAGGGTGATTCGATGCTGCCACGCGGAGATTTTGGGGTGGCAGTCCTTTTCAAAGGGGGGGGAAGAGTTCTCTCGCACTGTACTGACAAAATTAGAAGAAAGAAAGAGGGGTTGAACTAGCAGAAATGGGGATACAAATAGCAAACCCTAGAAGGGTTGTACTCGCTATAGAGCACCCCACTACAGGCTAGAACATAAGATAACATTCTGACACACCCCCATAGCCAAAGTGGGGTGTAATCAGCAGAGCAGGCAAAGCAGTACAAGCTCAGGGTGGATCACAATGTCACCACACATTCTGAGCACAAGTTCAAGAAGAAATAGTTTAGAGTGCACAATTATGAGCAAAGCTAGTGGTAGTCACAACGGGCAAGTGAGGAGGAGGAGAGAGAGTGAGAGGAGAGGAGATAGAAGGCGGCGGCTGAAGCTGCAGACACACGGGCAACAGGAGTGGCGAGCACAGTGGCTACCGGACTAAGCGCCCGGACTACAGGAGCAACAGGCCCCGCGGCTTAAGCAGCGGCAGACGGGCAACGGACCTACAGGCGACTGGCGCAGCGACAAGCTCACTGGGCTACCGGGACAACGCCCCGGACTACAGGTGCTGCGGACAACAAGCTGGCAGCCTCCACTCAACCTCCCGCAGACAGTCCCACCCCCCTGATACACACCCACTGCTACACCGCTAGCTCTACTCCCACGCACCCCCCTTAAACCCTAAACCCAGTCTCCCACACATCCACCCCCCTCAGCCACAGCTGCAGCAGTGGGAGACGAAGGAGGAGGAGGAGCAAAGGGAGGAATGCACACCGGCCACCCCCATACCCGCCACCCCACAGCAAGCGGCCCCCGAAGGAGCCGCGACGGGCGACGGGAAAAGGGGGGGGAGGGGGGGGGGGGGGGGGGGGCGGGGCCGCGACGAGTAGGGCGACGGGCCGCGAAGGAAAGCGGCGGGGCCGCGACAGGTCGGTGGCGGGGCCGCGACAGAAGGTGGCGCGGCCGCGACCGGAGGTGGCGGGGCCGCGACAGGTCGGTGGCGGGGCCGCGATGGTGGGGCGGCGGGGCCGCGACAGGTCGGTGGCGGGGCCGCGATGGTGGGGCGGCGGGGCCGCGACGGGTCCCCGTCGCCCGTCGCGGCGCCTTCAGAGGGCGACGCGGCGAACGACGGGGCAGAAGCCCGCCGCGCGCCTCGGGGCGCACAGCGGGCAGAGAACCGCCGCGTGCCTCGGGGCGCACGGCGGGCAGAAAACCGCCGCGCGCCTCGGGGCGCACGGCGGGAAGAAAAAATGGTAGCAGAAGCGTGGAGGTGGTAACCCACCCACAGGATCGATCCAAGGGGATCGACCTGCTCTGATAGCATGACAAAATTAGAAGAAAGAAAGAGGGGTTGAACTAGCAGAAATGGGGATACAAATAGCAAACCCTAGAAGGGTTGTACTCGCTATAGAGCACCCCACTACAGGCTAGAACATAAGATAACATTCTGACATATACTTGTCAGTTTTTCTTGACAGATTTGTCTGACCCATCCAGCACAACGGACGCTCGCGATTACTCCATCGACATCGACGTGTCCTGATTCAGTCGATCTCTGACAACGCGTCAGAATTCCCGTCACCAACATGTTCATCTCGACCGTCCGACATAGATCCGCCACATCGACGGTTTTCATTACTCGAAGGATTTCAAATCGAAATTCGCTTTCAACCGCCCGATCGATATCGGCAATAGCAACGGCTGACACCCAACTCTTTAAAGTTCGCCTGGTCAACGCGGTCAGCCACGCATCAACTTGAACGTCAACGTGCTTCTGCAACGTCACATCAGTTTCGTCCGAGATCTGCAGTTTTCCAGCTACCGATAGACTCGACTACAGATAAGGGGGCCTTATCTAGAAGGTGGGCGAGTGTAATGAATTACAATTCATTACTGTAAAGGCTGCTCGTAGCGATGACAGCCCCGAACACTGTGCGTCAATTTCAGGTTTGGCCTACATTTTGGCCCAAACCACTTCCGAGTCGCCCATCACCAATCGCGACATTTCCGAGCCACGCACATCACGAGGTTCTCGCCTAGCTAGTTTCCGCCCTATAAATGCTCGCTTTCTTCATTGTTTCATGATGCTGGAATCACGTTCTCTTTATAGAAGTCTTCCGTGCACTCTGTTAGTACAATCCATAACAGATTGGGCCACCAAGGTGAAATGGGAAACAGGAGGGACACATTGTTGGCACTCATTCTTATTCAAGCTGGCCCTGATGGTATTCTGAATATTCTCGCAACAAATTCTGCATAGTGCATATACGTTTGGCTTATGAAATATGTGAACTCTACTCCTTACACTAAGGCGGTTGGCATCGATACAAGCCACATGCAGCAAGCTTCACCAGACTTCCCGCCTTGCACAGCACAGCCTGCCTGCATCCCCGCCAAAACCCAAGAGAAGACTTCGTTCGGTTAGCAACCTTCCGAACCTAAGCGACGGCCCAGGAGATTCGACGGAGCCCATTTGACTGTTCCAGCCAATCCAACGGTGTCTCAGCGTTCGCGATGACCATCCGAATGCGAGGGACATGTGTGCGCACATTCGTCGCATGGGAAGTCGCCCAGTCAGGTTCTGTGACTCGTGCGACAGCAAGTTCTGGTTTGGTGCACCTCTCGAGTAGTCCTGGTCAGGAGGAGCACCCTCCTGACGTGGCGCGAACCTCCCAAGGCTGTTTTGACCTCACCTTCTCCACTAGCGCTTCCTGTGTTTCATTGGTCGGTTAGAAGGCAGGAGTCGCAACGCAACCTAGGACTTTCGCGAGGCCATCGCTTTCCCTCCCCAACCTCTTTCCAAACTCGAGCTGCCTCTGATATGCTGAGTACCTCCCTAAACCTTACAGAAACGCAGCCGACCCCTAAAAAAACGGACACTCACACCTAGAGACTGCCGATTTGCAGCACTCACCACCTGCCTATGATCTCTCTTCATCAGAACCTGTCAACTTCACTTCTCGTCCCGTACAGTACAGTTCACCATCCGCCATTCACTCCCACCAGATCAGTTTTGCTCCATCACTACCTTTTCCATGCCTACCTGTCAGATGACCACCCTTCTCACTCTCGTTTCTAAGTTTTAGCTGTACTGTTTGGGGTTGTCGTGCGCGCATCTGTGCTTATTCATCAGATGCGATGCGACACGATAGTGACGTAGTTTGGGTCTCTTTCCTCCCAAGGCGCACTGAACGTTTTCTGTCCATGTCACAAAAACTATTACAGCTACAGATAGGATAACGAACGCAGTTTGACTCAGGGGAAGCTCGTGTTTGAATAATGCCGCACAGCTTTACTATCCCCCAAAACTAACAATCAGATCAAGGCTAATTCCTTGCATAATTCCCGTATAGCTGCTCGTTAGACGCCTTTTACGGTTTTCCATCAACTCGCAGCAAACGAGACTGGAATTGTGTGTGTTATATAAGCGGTGTGTTACAGCGTTGTTGAATATAAGCGGCTCATACGTTGTTATAAGGCGTACGTACGCTATATAAGCACTACGTACTCTATATAAGCGGTGGCAATGGCGGAACAGCCGGCCGTCAACGTGCACCTACACGCCGCTCCGCACAACCACCTCCTCCACCTCCACCACCATACGTCAGATCCTAACTCTGCTGCTCCACACAGTTACGAATCATCCCCGTTACACGCAAATCCGTGTAACGACTGGCTTCCCGGCGATCAGTCGATTTCGTGTAGACCTGCAGCTGCGCCTAAGACTGGCAATGCTCACAATCCAGTGATGGTAGTTGGAGGATTGGTGATCGGCGGAACGGTGATCGGGGGAGCGGAAGCGGGGGAGGGGAAGAGATCGGTGCGGAAGGCGCATGCGGACGGCAGCAGGTGGCTCAGGGGAAAGACATACGAGGGGAAGAGAGTGGTTCCGCTGAGCTTCCGAGCGTCCATGTTTCTCCTGTTCGCCGGGATTATGATGGTTGCCGTTTCTTTCAAGTCTATACCTGCACTTAACAAGGTACGTTCGCAGAATAAAGCGCGTGAAACAGTTGGAAGTCGTTGCATCTAAATTCCGTCTGCTCCGCAGTTTTCATTATGATGTTCGTTTTTCTGAAATGGTTAGCATACTGAAAAAGCAACATACGCGATTTAAGAGGTAACCGTACATCTTAAATTCCTTGCATCTGTTTTCTTCTCGGTGGAGCTCTAATGGTGACCGTTTCGCCCATTGAGTCGATAGAACCGTTTTCAAGCAAGGTACCAGCAAGGTACGTTCATGCTTGCGACGCTTCGGTCAGAGTCCGTACTGCATGCGTGGTGCGTGCGACTTCGGTTTGAAATGGCTCAAGGTTGGAACAAAAAAAAGAAAAATGTCAACAACGCGACATTAATAAGCCCTCGGGCCTGTTTGATTGGTTTTCAGAACACAACATGCTCAACTGTCGCCGGCTGTGCTTTTGATTTGACAAGTCGTGTGCACAATGAGACAGGCGTGCGTCACCGAGTGTTTTTCCGTTCCTATAAGCCCCTCCGTTTGACATTCATACATCACGAGTAACTCAACTGTGTTCATTTTACGTGAACTTGTCGCCAATTTAATTGCATCAGGGGAAGATCGTGCCTGCGGGCGAAATTCTCAACGGTAACGGCGTCGCGCAGCACGCGTTATTCGCGAGCCGCAACTTAAGAGGTGACCACGCCGGAGTATTCATCGCAGGTTCCGGTGACGATCTGGGATTGGACGGAGATCTACCGCCGCCACAAACGGCGGAAATCGCGAAGAATGGGGATGGATTGTGGAGGAAGGGGAAAGTGAATGGGCTGCCGAGGAGGGAGCTTGGAGATAGTGTGTTGATGGAAAAAAACATGAAGGGGGAAATGAGAGGTAATTTGGACGAGGAGGGGAGGGGAAGCAGAGGCCGTACAGGGAGAAGTAATATGGAGGGAGAGGACGAATACAGAGAAGGGGAGAATAAAGGAGTTCATGCTGGGGAGGAGAAGCCTAAGGGCCCGAGAGGTGAGAGAGGTGGAGGTGAAGGGGATGTTGAGCTACGGAGGAGGATCCGGAAGGACGAGGAGGAGGAGGAAGCAGGGAGCGAGCGAGCGGGAGAGAGAGGGGAGGAGGATGAAGTCGAGGGAGTTGGGAAAAGAAAAAGCGTGCGGGCTGATTCAGTTGGGGACGATGAGGATCAGGGAGAGCAAACGGGGGAGAAGATGCGTGGAGAGGAGAGAAGGCGACACGTGGGCTCAGAGGGGAAGAGGGAAGATGAAGAGGACTTGGAGGGCGCGGAAGGTGAAGGGGAGGGGGAGGGAGGAGGAGGGCATAGAAGGAAAAGGAGCCGTATTGCGGACGAGGCGGTGGAAGGGGGGAACGGAGACGCGGAGCATGAGGAGCATGAGGGAGGGGGGGATGAGGAGAACGGGACGGGTATGAAGGGAACTGGCGGCAGAGAGCGCGGGAGTGGTGGCAGTGAGGAGGAGGAAGGAGGAGGGTCGGCAGTTGAGTCGAAAGAGGAACGAGACGGGGAGGGGAAGCATGGGCGAGGGGAAGGGGAGGAGGTTGGTGAGCAGAGGGCAGCAGGAGAGGAGCACGAGGATGGAGAGAGGGGGCATGAGGAGGGGGCGAAGGAGCGTGGGCATAGAGGAATGGAGGATCAGGAATATGGTGACGAGGAGCGAGGAGGACACGAGCATCATACAGACGAGGGGCGGCATGAGGAGGGGGCGAAGGAGCATGAGGAGACGAAGGAGCGTGGGCATAGAGGAACGGAGGATCAGGAATACGGTGACGAGGATCGAGGGGGACACGAGCAGCATACAGACGAGGGGAGGCATGAAGACGGGAATGAAGAGAGCGGAACTCCTCTTACATCCTCCCTGGTCTCCCCACTTTCTCCTTTCAATGACTACTCTCAGTCGTCCTCCTCCGTCCCTCTGCCCCCATTCGGATTCAACGCCACTCTCTTTCACGCGCCCCCGATACCCGTTAGAGAAAAATTCCTTTGGAGAGCCCCCAAGAGCCATAAATATGCGCAGTGCATTGCACGCTCCCGCACCCATAAAGGTATGTCAGGGGGGAAAGGGGAGAAGTGGGGTTGGGAAAGGCGGGCGGGCTGAAAGAGGAAAGGAGAAAGGAAGAGGGAAGAAAAGGAGGAGAGAGAGAAGGGAGAATGGAAGGGAGGATGCAAGGTAGGAGGGAAAGGAAGACGGAAGAAAAATGAGAGGAGAAGATAAGGGGAAGATGGGGAGGGGAGGATTGTTGGTGAAATTGAATATATTAGCTCAAACATGTGATCAGAGATTCGTGAGAGTCTGAAATGCCTTTGTAGCCGTTGTTTCGACTCAAACGTCAGCACAAGCTGTTGAATTCGCCCCACCTCCTCCAACCTCCCCTAACCCCTCCCCACCCCGTGTTCTGCCACCCCTGCCTGCATCCGTTTCCGTTTTACTCCGGTCCCCTTGCCCCTTCAACTCCCATTTCGCCCCCTTCAACTCCTCCGTCGCCCCTTGCCACATCCCCCCTCTTTCCCCTCTTCCCCCATTCCCCCCTCCCCCAGTGCCTGTAAAGGGCTCCATTAACGGCTACCTGCTGGTCACAGCCAAGGGATTTCCCCCTTTGCCCTTGCCTCTGTTCCCCCCGTCGCTTCCGCTCTTTCCCTTACCCCCCTCCCGCCCCCTGCCCCAGTGCCTGTCAAGGGCTCCACCAACGGCTACCTGCTGATCACAGCCATTGGATTTTCCTTTGCCCCTGCCCCTCCTCCACCCCCGCTTTCCCCCTTCCCCCTTCTCGTTCTCCCCCCCAGTGCCCGTCAAGGGCTCCACCAACGGCTATCTGCTGGTCACAGCCAATGGGGGCCTCAACCAGATGAGAGCTGCCGTGAGTGTGGGGGTGTGCGTGTGTGACTGTGAGTGTGCGATTGTGAGGTGTGTGACTGTGATGCTGTTAGTGCGGTTGTGAGTTCTGGGCTGTGGTTGAGTGCGGCTATCTGCTGGTCACAGCCAATGGGGGCCTCAACCAGATGAGAGCTGCCATGAGTGTGGGCCTGTGAGTGAGTGGCTATGAGTGTGGGGTGTGAGTGTGGGGTGTGAGTGTGGGACTTGTTATCTTTTGAGAAGGCGGGGGGTTGGGGCTGGAGAGCGAATAGCTTTGGGAAGGGGCTATCCCGACAAGAACCCATTTAATAGAAGAAAAAGCAAAGTAGAATGAAACTGAGGGAGAAGCAAAACAACCATCTGCAAAAGTACATCTGCAGATTTGGAGCAAAGTGTGTGGCTTTTCTCACTCTGTCCCTTGTATGTGCCCTGTAAGTGACACATAGGTATCACCCTTCAAGGGTTTTTTTCACCCCTCGAATCTGTAGACCCATTCTCCCTTCTTCAACCCCTTCAGATCTGTGACATGGTGGCTGTAGCTCGCATCATGAATGTCACTCTCGTGGTTCCCATGTGACAGACAGGCATGACATCTCATTATGCTCATGTTCTCCTTCCCCGTCCATTGCCCCTTCAGATCTGTGACATGGTGGCTGTAGCTCGCATCATGAATGTCACTCTCGTGGTTCCCGAGCTCGACCACACCTCCTTCTGGGCTGACCCCAGGTCAGTCCCTTCCCTTCGCACGTGATTATCACATTTCCGTCTTTTTCTTGGCCATCCAGCACAGCACCTGGCACCGTTCTGGTTCCCGAGCTCGACCACACCTCCTTCTGGGCCGACCTCAGGTCAGTCCCTTCCTTCCTTCCTTCTCTCCCTTCCATTTACGGCCTGGCTTTCAATTCCAGAATTCCACCACACTGCCTTCTGGGCCGAACGAAACTCCACCACACTGCCTACTGGGCCGAACGGAACTCCACCACACTGCCTTCCTTTCTGTCTGGTTACTTGACCATCAACAAGGCGTTTCTAGTCGACTAAAAAAGACTGGCCATCCAAGGCCTGGCAATTGTTACAGTTCTCGAGCTGCATCACTCCTCCGTCTGTATCCCTCTTTCCCTACTCCAGCCTCCCCCTCACTCCATTCGCCCCCCCTCTCTGCGCCTCTCTGCACCCCTCTCCCTCTCCCCACACCCCTCCCAACCCAGCGAGTTTGAGGATATATTCGACGTGGATCATTTCATCTCCTCGCTCAAGAAGGACATTCGGATTGTGCGCCTGCTGCCCAAGCGCGTGCAACACATTGAGCCTCTCGAGAAGTTCCCCGTCTCCTGGTCTCCGGTAAGCCTTCTTGCCTTGAGCTCACCCAGAGCTATCCATGGAACCATCTTTGCTTATCTCCTTGTGTGGACCCAAGTGTGCGCGCCAGCTGCCCAAACGTGTGCAACACATCGAGCCTCTCGAGAAGTTCTCTGTTTCCTGGTCGCCGGTAAGATCTCTCCGCTTCCTTGCCCAAGCTAGTGCCGCAAACTGAGCTGCACACTGAGCCTCACACTGTACCGAGCCTCACATCGTACCGAGCCTCACACTGTACCGAGCCTCACACCGTACCGAGCCTCACACCAAAGCTGACATTGAGCCTCATCAAGTGTCGTGCCCCCCTCCCTCCCCTCTTCCAGTTCTCTTACTATCGAGAGGACCTGTTCCCGCGGGTCAAGAAGCACCGAGTGATGCGCTTCCCCCTCACCCACGCGCGTGTGCCTGCCCGCCCGTCTGCCTGTCCACCCCCCCCTGCCAGTTCTCCTACTACCGAGAGGACCTGCTGCCACGGGTCAAGAAGCACCGGGTGATGCGCTTCCCTCTGACCGACTCGCGCCTCGCCAACAACGGCGTGCCGGACTCAATCCAACGGCTGCGGTGCCGCGCCAACTACAAGTCTCTGCGCTACACGCCGTCGATCTCGCAGATTGCGGCGAATCTGATCTCGAGATTGCACGCGAGGGGGCCGTACATTGCGCTGCACTTGAGGTGGGTTGTGTGTTGAGCTTCTTGCCTGTTGCTGCTTGTTACTTGCTTTGTGCTTGCTGCATGGTAGCTTCTTGCTACTTTTTACTTTCAAGGAAGCATCTTTTTCCGGAGAACGAGAAGGCAAAATTGACTCAAACTTCGTCTTTCTCTTCCACCCGCTCTCTTCTCTCCCCTGTAACCGACCTCCCAGATATGAGAAGGACATGTTGGCGTTCACAGGATGCGATCACGGGTTGCAGGCATCCGAGAGGGAGGAATTGAAGGCCATGCGGCTCAACAACTCAAGGTGGAAGGAGAAGGAGATCGACGGGGAGGCGCGGAGAACGGAGGGGGCGTGCCCGCTCACCCCACGGGAGACGGCGCTTTTCCTGCGCGCCATGGGGTATCCGAATAAAACGCTCATTTATGTGGCAGCTGGGGATATCTACGGATCTAACGGGCTGGAGGTGAGGGAGAGGGGAGCTCTGAGTAGAGCTGGTATATCTACAGCTCCAGCTGGCGCTGTAGCAAGTACAAGTACCCACTCAACTTCACACTCAGGATTATGTCTGTGGTTGATAAGCTGGCCACTGTAGGGTACCGGACGCAGAGGATAGAAGTAAGGGGCAGCAGCTGTGTCATGAAAAGAAAGGCAAGAAAGAGGGGATTGTTTCTACCTGTAGTTTTCAATCCTCTGTGTGTCTGGCTCCCTCCCTGCCCGCATCCCTATCACCATCACCAGGACCTGACTCGTCTGTATCCAAACACGTACACGCACAGCACGCTGGCAACAGCAGAGGAGCTGGCGAGCATAGGCGCGTACCAGAACCGGCTGGCAGCTGTGGACCACACAGTGGCGGTGCAGAGCGAAGCGTTTGTTGCACTGAATTTCTCAACTCCCCCAGTGCCACTGGCTCACACTCAAAGCCTTTCCTCATCCCCAGCTCCCCTTTCCTCCCTCTGCTTCTCACTCCCTGCCCCCATCCCCACCAACCCCCCCACAACCACCACCAACCCCCCCACAACCACCACCAGGACCTGACTCGTCTGTACCCAAACACTTACACACACAGCACGCTGGCAACGGCTGAAGAGCTGGCGAGCATAGGCGCGTACCAGAACCGGCTGGCAGCTGTGGACTACACTGTGGCGGTGCAGAGCGATGTGTTTGTGTACACGTACGAGGGGAACATGGCTCGGGCTGTGCAGGGGCACAGAAGGTTTGAAGGACATAGGAGGACCATCATCCCCAACAGGTGAGGAGAGAGGTGCATTGCAATGCCGAGCGGTGCAGAGGTGGTTGTTTCGAGTGGCGGTGGCCGTGCAGAGCGATGTGTTTGTGTACACGTACGAGTGTATGTGGTAATGTTTTTGGACATTATCAAGAAAGACAAAGCCTTGAAATGTCTCTTACTGGCCAACTCCCTCCCTGTTCCTGCTACTCTTCCCTTTCCTCCACTAATTTTCCTTTTCTCTGGTGTGCCCACTTCGCAGGGAAGCCATCATTCGGCACATTGACCAATTAAAATCACGACAAATCAGGTGGAAGGCGTTTCGGAGGCTCATCAGGCAAGCACACAAAGAAGGAATGGGTGCTCCTCATCTGCGAGAGGTTGGTGAAAATCCGAAGCTGGAGGAGAATTTCTACGCAAATCCTTTTCCAGGGTGCATTTGCGAGGTGGAAAGGCAAGCGGACGGGGCTGTCCGCATGTGTAGGCGAGTCAGCGGCCAAAAGCGGTGTACGGAGATGCCAAAGAATGGAGAAGAGAGCAGATAGGAATTGGAGTAGTGCAGATTTGTCATTCCTAAGCTCATTCCCACTGCAATGCTTGCTGATTTGATATAGCTTTCTTGTACTCGCTTATAAATGAAATGTAAATGCCATAACGGATCTATGTTGGCCGTCAGGTGCGGTGGCTAGGTGCTGGGGGAAGGGTCGCGCCAGAAGTTCGCACTGCGAATCTCCCTGGTCAGGTAGAATCGCGTTTCTGAAGTCGACCAGTTACACCAACCAGGTTTGGCAGGAGTATTTGATTGGATGGCCGATGGCTTCGCAGCTTTCCCGAGCCTCGGTGATTGGTAGAACGGAGAACAGATGACAGCAATTCCTTGAAAAAACCGGCCATTATCTTTGTCACTCAGATTTTGCCTGAGCGCGCTCTCAGGTGTAATCAACTCGGACTTTCTCAACGTTGATTGGTCATCGATTTTTAGTCACATTTCTCACGCTGGTCGAACTCATTAAGAAGTGACAAAAACAAAACCATCCACTTACCCTCCCGACCTGGATATATGTACGGAAATTAAGGTAGTAAGAGAATGAAGCCCATATAATTCACTTAGTAGTGCTCAGTAGCGCAACTGACCGCTAAACAACGCTTCCGAAAGCACTAGACGACGCTACCGAGACCTATTCGGGCATGGCAGAAAAAAAAAACCCTAGGGAGCCTGGATGCATTTTCGAGAGGGGTCGGGCATTGTTTTTAGGGTTGAAGCCTCCCGGGTCGCATCCCTTTCCGAGGTGGGGGGTTTTTTTTTGTCAAGTGGGTTGCAATATATTTTTTAAAATATTTGGAGGCTTTCGGTGTTCAGGGTTGATCCTTCCCGGAAAACATATAGGTTCGCTACGGGCATTATATTTATTTATTGCAAGTGCTAGACTTCCTCTTTTTGAGTGACTGTATACAAGCATGAAACAGAATAGATTCAGACTATATCGAAAAATGTGTTTCTGTTGGTAGTTACACCTGAGAACGCGCTCATGCAAAATCTGAGTATCGGAGATAATGGCCGTTGAAAGGACATCTGCTGCGACGCTCGCGGTTCTTCGCAAACCTCGAGATTTTTTCTCAAAATCCCCAGGCAGCGGCCACTGACACATCGCACAGCGCCTCCCGCCCGCACAGGCCTCTCTCCTCCTCACCACCAGTAGCCCACCGCGTTTCTCCAGTTCCCCATTTTCCACTCTCACCATTTTCCGACTCCCCCATCGCATCTGAACCCAGATATCTCAGTTCATCTCACTGGCAATGCCGAATGGTTTTATCTATGGCTGACAATTATTGCTGAGCTCTGCTTGTGCTAGGGAGCTTGCCTTCTTCCAGCTGCACATTGCTGGGGTTTTCTTGCAGAAGTCACCGATGTCTGTATAGCCTGTGTTTCTCGAGTGCACTCCTTGCGTGTCTGTCCCTGTGGGAGGAGTCGTTGCGTCCCAGTGTGAGTAGAATAGTTCGGATTCGGCGAGTTGACCGTTTATGTATCGACTTGAATTCAGGTAACGTCTAGGTCACCTTCTGCAGCCATCATGACGAGCAGCGAAGCAGATGAGCGGTCAGGATCCGATGCTCCGTCTAGCCTTCCAGCGAACCAATCAAGTGCGAGCATCCCAAAAGGATCGTCGTACTTTACGGTCAACGAGAGAACGCCGCCGGCGAGCCCTGCGAGAGACGGGAAGACGAGTACCGCAATAGACGGCGAGGGGGGTAACAGTCACCGGAGTAGCTGGGGTTCGATCAAGCCGTACGTGCTGTCGGTGTCGCTTCTGGCATCGATATCGTCGGCCCTTCTCGGATATGGTAAGCGATATAGCGAGAGCATTTCTAACGAATCCAATCGGTCGTGCTTCTGGCATCCTTGTCGTCGACTCTTCTTGGATATGGGACGCGGTGTAGCTAGAGTATCGCTAATTGCTCAATTGGTGTTGTGGCATCCATATCGTTGGCTCTTCTTGGATATGGTACGCATTATAACACGAGAATCCTGAGTAATGTGTCTGGTCGTGCTTCTGCGTTGTGACATCTCATTCATCTCAGTATGACGAATGCCAATGCTTTTCGTACAATGTATGTATGATTCTTTTTTTTTTCCTGAGTATCCAGCCGTGACCCACTCTCGTCTCCACGATTCTGTTGTGACCTCCCTTTCCTGACGTGGCATGCAGACATTGGCGTCACCAGCGGAGCGCTCATTTTCGTGGCAGAAGATTTCGACCTCTCCCACGTGCAGCAGGAAATTTTCGTCGGCATCCTCAATATAGTCTCCCTTGTTGGCGCGCTATCAGCTGGTAGACTTGCGGATTTCGCGGGCCGTAGATTCGCAATGGGAGCTGCCGCTTCGATTTTTATCGCCGGAGCTCTGTGCATGGCGTTAGCACCGACCTACGCTATCCTCGTTACAGGACGTGTCATTACAGGTGTTGGTGTCGGATTCGGTCTTGCTCTACCTCCTCTGTTCATCTCAGAAATTTCTCCTCCCGGTCAGCGGGGCGGGCTGGTTTCTTTCGGGGAGCTTTTTATCAACATTGGCATTGTAGTGGGCTTCTTGACCTCCTTTCTTCTTTCCGGGCTGCCCGTGGATACAGCCTGGAGGTGGATGTTGGGGCTGGGAGCCGTTCCGGGCTTTATCCTCGCAGTAGGAGTGGTTTTCCTGCCCGAATCCCCGCGCTGGCTGATCATGCACGGGCAGGTGAAAAAAGCCAAGGATATCCTCCTTACCATATCTGACAGCAAAGAGGAGGCCCATGAACGGATGCTGGAGATTCTCGAAGCAGCAGGGCTGAAGGAGGAAGTTATCAGCAAAGGCTCGGATATTTCCGCTGCCCGGGGCAGAAGCAATTCCCGCGAGCGGCTGGGAGGCAGCGGGGCCGAGGGTGCGGGAGATACAGTGTATATGGACGAGGAAGAGCAAGAAATCCACGTGATACGGCCAATGGAGGGTGCAGGCGGGACGGGTGTGTGGAAGGAGTTGCTCTGGCCGACGCCGGCGGTGGGGAGGATGCTGGTGGTGTGCGTGGGCACAAATTTCCTGCAGCAGGCGGTGGGGATTGACGCGGCTGTGTATTACTCGCCTGTGGTGCTGCGGGATGCGGGGGTGACGTCTACGCGCGCGCTGCTGGGGGCGACGCTGCTGATGGGGGTGATCAAGGTGTCGTTTGTTGGCATTGCCACGTGCATGCTGGACCACTTCGGACGGAGACCGCTGCTGCTAGCGTCCACTGCAGGTGAGTGTGTGTGATTGACGCGAGGGTGAACCAGTGCCTCTGCTGTGTTTCGTTCAAAACTCTGCCGTCTATGGTTCAAAGGATATGCTGATGGGGGTGATCAAGGTGTCGTTTGTTGGAATTGCCACGTGCATGCTGGACCACTTCAGACGGAGACCGCTGCTGCTTGCATCCACCGCAGGTGAGCGTGCACTGCAGGTGAGCGTGCTTGCTTGGCTGCTGCGAGTGTGCGTTGGTACCTCTGCTGTATATGTGCAAAGGATCTGGTGCCCTCCCAGTGCAAGCCATGACCTTCGCACCCTCCAGTACGCTTTTGAGCCAGCTCAAACCGCTCCCAACTCCCCAATACCCTTCTCATTCATGAACTCCCCTTCCCACCAGGCATGACGATTGCGCTCCTAACTCAAGCCCTGGCCTTCCTCAAGCTCCCCACCGCTGTTGACGCAGATGTCACCGCCACCACAGGAGTCCCAACAGCCGCCATTGTTGCTTTCACCGGCCTCTGCTTTTACGTCGCCTTTTTCTCGATCGGTATTGGTCCCATCAACTGGTTATACACCTCGGAGATCTTCCCCCTGAGGCTGCGAGCACAGGCAACTGGTATCGGCACGGCTGTCAACAGGATCGCGTCTGGCGTGGTCGCGATGACGTTTTTGAGTTTGGCCGATGCGACGGGCAGTCCTGCGGGGCCGTTTTTCATGTTTGCCGGGATGGGAGTGGTCGCTTTTGTGTTTTTCTTTTTTCTTGCACCCGAGACGAGAGGGAAGAGCTTGGAGCAGATAGTGAGGATGTTTGAAAAGGGGACATACGCATGGGTGAAGGAGGCTCCGGAGGAGATTCCGAGCGTGGGGTTGGCGGTGTATGATGGGAATAAAATGCAGCAAGGGTGGGGGGAGACGGATTCAAGCCCTAGCAGGACACCACGGGATGTGTGGTAATCTAGTGATGCTAACAAAATGCATCAAGATTACATGGCATGGCAATCTAGTCTGTCGGTTGGTACGCCTTATTCTGAGTGTTTGGTTTACAGCAGGGACAAGATGCAGCAATGGTGGGGGAACGGCGAGTTCTGGCCCTAGTGGAACGGCGCGGATGTGTGGTGGTGGCAAGCCATGACTAACATTGTGCCTTTAAGTGTACAGGGTTGTTTTTCTCCAAGAGACGGGGTTCACAGTGTATGACGAGAAGGAGGTCCAGAGCTCGAAGCTTTAGCCCAAGCAGGATAGGGGGGGGGGGGGGGGGGGGTGGGGGGGGGTTGCAGTGCAGCCAGTCACTCACCCGTGATACCGGTAATTGTTAACGGAAAAGTTGTGCTTGTTTTTCTGACTTAAAAATGGTACAAATTTCTCACTAAGAAGCTCCGCTGGGGCAAATATGTGTTGCGTTGCAGTGTGTAGCCAGACTTTGTAGGCATCAAGTCACGTGCCATCAGTTTCTTGATGTGTTCTGAGAATCGTGGAGTCCCTTGTAACATATGGGTTTCAGTTTCGCTGATGGAACTTCGCAGGGTTTGCTTCCAGTCCTCAGCACAGTGGAGCAGCACACGGATTAGTCCGCTTCCCTCAGCAGCACAGTTGAATCAGGGAGCAACAGCAGCATTTGCAGAGCCCGGGAGTAAAAAGGACCGTTGCGAACAAGCCGTCACGGAAGGGAGAGAGCAGTCTGTCGAGGCAAGACGCGTCACATTCTTTCTGCTTTTGAATTGATCAGGAGACTTAGCAGGAACTTTGACTGATTAGGGAGAGTGATTGAGAGACTATTTGGCGCACCTTCCCGCGGGAGCTATTTTTTTTGTGAGAGTTTGTTTTTTTTCAAGAGTTTTGGAGAGACAGACGAGCCGTCGCGGCGATGAGGAAAAAGGTGGACGCGAGGATTCGAACCCTCGTCGAGAATGGCGTCAAGTCTCGTCAGCGGTCCATGTTCGTGATCGTGGGGGATAAGGGCCGCGAGCAGGTGAGGGACTAGGACAATCGCGAATCTATCTCAGTCATGATTAGGGTTTCGGGTCCATGTTTGTGATTGGAAGCGAGCTTAGTCCCAGCATCTCTCCAAGTTCGTAATTCTGGGGGACAAGGGATAAGAGCAGGTTTGGATTTTAGTCGCTAAACTAATACGCTTCGTCTTTTCTCTGACGTCTTGAACTGAGCCGTAACTGTGAGACGGGATTTTTTTTAAACTCTTTCTTGAATCCCTAGGCAGCTAACTCCTGATTTGCCTTAGAACCCGGAACCCAGCTAGGTCGTGTGTTCGCCGGGTATGGATATCTCCTGGGAGTGACTGTAACGCGACAATGCTGTTGCCTGGTACGGCCATACTGTAACCAATGTGACTGTATCCGGATACTACTGTACCCCGATGTGACTGAAACAGGTGGTGAATCTCCACTACATGCTCTCCAAGGCCGTGGTCAAGGCGAGACCCAACGTGCTCTGGTGCTACAAGAAGGACCTTTTCCTTAGCAGGTATTTCTAGGGGTTTAGAGGTTTGGGTTGGGAGGGGAAGGGGGGGGGAAGGAGGAAGGGGGGATATGGAGGGTTGAGGGTTTGGGCTACAGGGATTTCCTTTTTTTTTCAGCAGGTAACTGCGGGTAGGGTTAGAGGGTTCGGGGGAATGGGGAAATAGAAAAAGGGGGTTTGTGAAGGGTTGAGCAAGTGTTCACACAGGAGAAGGGCGCAGGGGTTAGGGTTTGAAGGCTCATGCTGCCCAGTTGTCTGTCCTGATGAAAGAAGATGATGCAGCGGGGGCTGCTGGACCTTGAATAGGAGGACCCACTCATTCCGCTAATCTCTTATGCCCCGCCCCCCCCCACCTCCCCTTTCGTAATCCCCAGCAACCGGAAAAAAGGGATGCGGCAGATGAAGAAGATGATGCAGAGGGGGCTGCTGGACCCTGAGAAGGAGGATCGCTCCATTCCCCTCATCTCTTGTCCCCTTTCCTCCCCTTACGCCAACCCCCCGCCTTCACAGCAACCGGAAAAAACGCATGAGGCAGATGAAGAAGATGATGCAGCGAGGGCTGCTGGACCCTGAGAAGGAGGATCCATTCGCTCTCTTTATGGCCTCTACGGCCATCCGCTACTGCTACTACGCAGAGACGCACAAGATCCTCGGAAACACCTTCGGCATGTGTGTGCTGCAGGTAAGGCTTGCTTCATGCGTGCACAGACGCTGCATGCCAGATGATGCAGCGGGGCCTGCTGGACCCTGAGAAGGAGGACTCGTTTGCTCTCTTCATGGCATCCATCTACGGCCATCCGCTACTGCTACTATGCTGAGACGCATAAGATCCTCGGAAACGCCTTCGGCATGTGCGTGCTGCAGGTACGTGCCCTGAGGGTTGGGGCTGCGTGTTCCCCATCTCACCCCTGTGGGGTGGGGATGTGTTTGCCTCCTCACCTCACCCCACGCCCCCCACCATAGCCTGTAAGGAGGATCCGTTCGCTCTCTTCATGGCCTCCACTGCCATCCGCTACTGCTACTACTCGGAGACGCACAAGATTGATGGAAACACATTCTCTCCTTTCATCTCCCTTCCTCTCCTTTCATCTCCCTTCCTCTCCTTTCATCTCCCTTCCTCTCCTTTCGTCTCCTCTCTTCTCCTCTCCTCTCTTCTCCTCTCCTCTCCTCTCCTCTCCTCTCTTCTCTTCTCCTCTGCTCTCCTCTCCTCTCCTCTCTTCTCCTCTCCTCTCCTCTCCTCTCCTCTCCTCTGCTCTCCTCTGCTCTCCTCTGCTCTCCTCTGCTCTCCTCTGCTCTCCTCTCCTCTCCTCTGCTCTCCTCTCCTCTCCTCTGCTCTCCTCTCTCTCCTCTCTCTCCTCTCCTCTGCTCTCCTCTGCTCTCCTCTGCTCTCCTCTGCTCTCCTCTGCTCTCCTCTGCTCTCCTCTGCTCTCCTCTGCTCTCCTCTGCTCTCCTCTGCTCTCCTCTGCTCTCCTCTGCTCTCCTCTGCTCTCCTCTCCTTTCAACCCCACACGGCAGGATTTTGAGGCCCTGACGCCCAACCTGCTGGCGCGCACGATAGAGACGGTGGAGGGCGGGGGGATCATCGTGCTGCTGCTCTCCTCCCTCACCTCCCTCTCCCGCCTCTTCACCCTCGCCATGGTACGTGCTGCTGCCCTGCTGCCCTGCTGCGCTGCTGCCCTGCTGCCCTGCTGCCCTGCTGCCCTGCTGCACTTCTGCGCTGCTGCCCTGCTGCCCTGCTGCCCTGCTGCCCTGCTGCGCTGCTGCCCTGCTGCGCTGCTGCCCTGCTGCGCTGCTGCGCTGCTGCCCTGCTGCCCTCATCGTCTCTCACCCTCTCAACTTCTCTGCTGCTGCTCCCGTTCCTCACCTCGCTCTCTCGCCTCTTCACCCGCGCCATGGTACATACCTCCCCTTACTCACCTCGTGCTTTTGAGTCACCTCTGGTTCTCCTATTCCTTCATCCCTTTTGGAAAATCTCTAAAGTGCTCTCGAGTCACCTCTGCTTCTCCTATACCTTGACTCATTCCTGCTAAACCAATCGTGTCCTTCCCCCCCCAACACACACACAGGACGTGCACGCACGCTACCGTACTGAGTCCCACGGGGATGTGGTGGGGCGATTCAACGAGCGCTTCATCCTCTCCCTCGCCTCCTGCCCCACGTGCTCTTGAGTTACCTCTGCCTTCCCTATTCCCTTATCCGTACATGCATTTTACCCTCAGGACGTGCACGCACGCTACCGTACTGAGTCCCACGGGGATGTGGTGGGGCGCTTCAACGAGCGCTTCATCCTCTCCCTCGCCTCCTGCCCCACGTGCTGTGTCATGGACGATGAGCTCAACATCCTGCCCTTGTCCTCCCACATGCGCCATCTCCAACCGTCTCCATTCACAGAGGTCAGTCAGTGCCCCTCCTTCCCTTCCACTCACTGAGATACAGGCCAGCCAGTCTAGCCTCCTGCCCCACGTGCTGTGTGATGGGCGACGGGCTTCCTGCCTCTGTCTTCCCACATGTGACATCTTCAGCCGTCGCCCCTCACAGAGGTGAGTGCCCCTCTTCCCCCTTCAATCCAACTCACAGAGGTAAGGGTTAGCCAGGGTGAGTCACCATCCCCACACTGCCTCCTGCCCCACGTGCTGTGTCATGGACGACGAGCTCAACATCCTGCCACTCTCTTCGCATATAGGCATCTGCAGCCGTCACCGCTCACAGAGGTCAGTGCCCCCGCCACACCAAGGTAAGCGCCAGCCAGGCAGGATAAGTGAGTCCCTCGCCTCCTGCCTTCTCATATGAGGCACCTTCAGCCTTCTCCGCTTACAGAGGTCAGTAAGTCCTTGTCAGTGCCCACTGTCAGTCAGTGCCCTCTCCATCAGTGCCCACTGTCAGTCAGTGCCCTCTCCATCAGTGCCCTCTCCATCAGTGCCCTCTCCAGCAGTGCCCTCTCCATCAGTGCCCTCTCCATCAGTGCCCTCTCCATCAGTGCCCTCTCCATCATTGCCCTCTCCATCAGTGCCCTCTTCATCAGTGCCCTCTCCATCAGTGCCCTCTCCATCAGTGCCCTCTCCATCAGTGCCCTCTCCATCAGTGCCCTCTCCATCAGTGCCCTCTCCATCAGTGCCCACAGTGCCCCACGTGCTTCCTTTCCCCACCTGCCCACCTGCCCACCTGCCCACCCACCCCAACCCAGGGAGAGGCAGTGGAATCAGAATCCGACCGGGAGTTGTGTGAGCTGAAGGAGTCCCTAGCCGTCACACAGCTAGTGGGGGCGCTGGTGGCTTTTGAGTCAACTCAAAAGCCCGTGGGGCCGCTGGTGGCCACGTGCCTCTGTCGGAGGTGACTTTTGAGTCGATTCAAAAGCCACCTCGCTGGTGGCCACGTGCCTCTGTTCTTCCCGCCCCTTCCCACCTGCCCAACTTCCCTCTTTCTCACGTATCAACCCGCAACAACAGGGCGAGGCGGTGAAATTGGAATCTGACAGGGAGGTGAAGGAAGGAAGTCTAGGAGTCGCTTGCCGACCCACAGCCAATGGGGGCGCTGGTGGCCACGTGTGGCGCGCTGGACCAAGCCAAGGCCCATGCCTTTTCCCCATACCCCCCGCCCTCATTTCCCCGTCCGTCCGCAGGGAGAGGCATTGGAATCAGAGTCAGACAGGGAGTTGAAGGAAGTCTAGGAGTCGCTTGCCGACACACAGCCAGTGTCGGCCATGCCCCCATACCCACTGCTTCCGTACTCCCCTCCCCCATTTCTCCTTTCTTCCACAGGGCGACGCAGTGGAGTCAGAATCTGACAGGGAGTTAAGGAGCTCAAGGAGTCCCTAGCCGACACACAGCCCGTGGGGGCGCTGGTGGCCACGTGTGGCGCGCTGAGGTGACTTTTGAGTCGACTCAAAAGCCGACACACAGCCCGTGGGGGCGCTGGTGGCCACGTGTGGCGTGCTGAGGTGACTTTTGAGTCGACTCAAAAGCCGACACACAGCCCGTGGGGGCGCTGGTGGCCACGTGTCGCACGCTGGACCAGGCCAAGGCAGTGGTGACATGCCGTGAGTCACGAGCCTATGCCTTTTCCCCATACCCCGCTCCCTCATTCCATGCTTCCTCCCCAGGCCGAGGCAGTGGAGTCCGAGTCTGACAGGGAGTTGAAGGAGCTTAAGGAGTCTCTGGCAGACACACAGCTACCATGAGTCACTAGCCCATGCCCTTCCCCATACCCCTCCCAACCGCATACACTCCATTCCATCCCAGGGCGAGGCAGTGGAGTCGGAATCCGACAGGGAGTTGAAGGAGCTCAAGGAGTCGCTAGCAGACACCCAGCCAGTGGGGGCGCTGGTGGCCACGTGTCGCACGCTGGACCAGGCCAAGGCAGTGGTGACGTTCCTTGATGCTGTGTCTGAGAAGACTCTGAGATCTACCGTGGCGATCACTGCTGCCAGAGGAAGGGGGAAATCCGCTTCTCTTGGTGTCGCTGTGGCTGGTGCCGTGGCGCTGGGGTGAGTGGGTGTTGGGAGGGGTTGGAAGGGTTGATTTGTTTGGTTTTGAATAGAGGCATCGAGTGGGGTAGGGTGGGGTGGTGTGGGGTCGATGGGCTGGTTGGAGGACCAGGCCAAGGCAGTGGTGACGTTCCTGGATGCTGTCTCTGAGAAGACTCTGAGGTCGACTGTTGCGATCACGGCTGCCAGAGGCAGGGGAAAATCCGCTGCGCTGGGCGTGGCTGTGGTGTGGCAGGGGCCATGGCGCTGGGGTGAATGGTTTGGAAGGGGTTGAGATAGGTTGGGTGCGGTGGAAGGAGGGATGGGTTGGTGTAGAAGACTCTGAGGTCGACTGTTGCGATCGCTGCTGCCAGAGGAAGGGGGAAATCCGCTTCTCTTGGTGTCGCTGTGGCTGGTGCCGTGGCGCTGGGGTAAGTGTGGTTGGAAGGGGTTGGGATGGATGGGCCAGGGTGGGATTGAAAGATGGGTTGTAGACGGTGGTGACCCTTCTCTGTGCCGTCTCTGAATGAGAAGACTTTGCGATCGACGGCTGCCATGCCATCGCTGGCAGGTCTTCTGAGAATCACTGCAGCATTGCATTGCACACTCCTCTTCAGCCTCTAACCAAGCCACCCCCCTCTCTCCCCCTTTCCCCCCCTCCCCCTCTCTGCAGCTACTCCAACATATTCGTGACGGCGCCGAGCCCGGAGAATCTGAAGACACTGTTTGAGTTTGTGTTCAAGGGCTTTGACGCCATCGGGTACAAGGTCGGTCAGTTTCATTGTCCTCTAGTAGTTTTCCTTGGTTGGGTGATGCCATCGGGTACAAGGTAAGGCACGCAAGGGCTTTGATGCCATCGGGTACAAGGTGGGTCAGTTTCAGATTTCCCGGGTTGGGTAATACACAGAAAGATCTACTCACCTCGCGCAGATTTGATCAACCTTCTCAGGGGTCACCCTGACTCATGTTTCGAAGGGCTGCAGTAGCAGATTTGATCAACCTTCTCAGGGGTCACCCTGACTCATGTTTCGAAGGGCTGCAGTAGCAGATTTGATCAACCTTCTCAGGGGTCACCCTGACTCATGTTTCGAAGGGCTGCAGTAGCAGATTTGATCAACCTTCTCAGGGGTCACCCTGACTCATGTTTCGAAGGGCTGCAGTAGCAGATTTGATCAACCTTCTCAGGGGTCACCCTGACTCATGTTTCGAAGGGCTGCAGTAGCAGATTTGATCAACCTTCTCAGGGGTCACCCTGACTCATGTTTCGAAGGGCTGCAGTAGCAGATTTGATCAACCTTCTCATCGGGGATTGTTGTCAATCGATTTCCTACCTATCCTCCCTCCCCACTCTCCTTGCTCCAGGAGCACATAGACTACGAGCTCGTGGAGAGCAGCAACCCCGCCTTCAACCAGCTCCCTATACCCCCCCTTCCGTTGCGTCCCTTTCCTTAACACACACTACCCCCTTCCCCTTCCCACGCCCCCTCTGTGCTGTGCAACAGGAGCACATAGACTACGAGCTCGTTGAAAGCACCAACCCCGCCTTCAACCGCGCCATCGTGCGAGTGAACGTGTTCCACCAGCACCGGCAGACCATTCAGGTGTGTGTGAGGGGGGATCCTGGCCTGTAGGCTGGAGGTGGGACCATCCAGGTGGGTTCAACGGGGTGCGAGGTGGTTGAGTCAGTCAGTTCCAGCACACGTGGAGTGGAAACTTTTGAGAATTCTCAAAAGTAGCACACGTGGAGTGGAGAGCACCAACCCCGCCTTCAACCGGGCCATCGTGCGAGTGAACGTGTTCCACCAGCACCGCCAGACCATTCAGGTGAGAGCTTGTCCTTGTGGTCAGCGAAGGAGCTCAAATGGGTTCAAGGCGGTTGAATCAGTCCCAGCACATGTGGAGAGCACCAACCCGGCTTTCAACCGCGCCATCTTGCGAGTGAACGTGTTTCACCAGCACACGCAGACCATTCAGGTGCTTGAGGGCCATGCAGGTTGGGGTGCAAGGAGCAATGCGCCTGGTTGCCTGCCTTGTCCACTCACCTTCTCCATTTCAACCCCCGCCCACCCACCCCACCCCACCCCAGCCCCCATTCAGTACGTGATGCCACAGCACGCGGAGCGAGTGCAGAAGGCGGAGCTGCTGGTGATCGACGAGGCAGGCAAGGCAACTGCCACTGCCACCCCCCTCTGCCCGATATCGTCTCTCCCGTCTCCATGTTCGCCCTTTTTCCTCTCTTCCTCCCCCCCTCCCCCCCATGCAGTACGTGATGCCACAGCACGCAGAGCGAGTGCAGCAGGCGGAGCTGCTCGTGATCGACGAGGCAGCAGCCATCCCGCTGCCCATGGTCAAGGCGCTCCTGGGACCGTACCTCGTGTTCATGGGCTCGACTGTTAACGGGTACGTGCTATGTGTTGGTAATGGGTTACCCTGTATGGGGTACGGTGAGGCAGCAGCAGCCATCCCCCTACCCATGGTCAAGGCGCTGCTGGGGCCCTATCTGGTCTTCATGGCCCATGGGCTCTACTGTTAACGGGTACATATGCAGGGGGTTAGTTTGTAAGGGGTACAGGAAGCAGGCAGCAGCCATCTTCCTTGTGAGGCGCCTCAAAAGATGACCTAAGGGGTACAGGAAGCAGGCAGCAGCCATCTTCCTTGTGAGGCGCCTCAAAAGATGACCTAAGGGGTACAGGAAGCAGGCAGCAACCATCTCCCTGCCCATGGTCAAGGCGCTTCAGTGGCCGTGCCTTGTTTTCATGGGCTCCAGTGTTGACGGGTATGTCTTTTAGCGGATTGCTGTGTAAGGGGTATGGCGAGCAGCCAGCCAACCCGCTGCCCATGGTCAAGAGTCGCTGTTTCCCTCCCAGTTGCTCAAGGAACCGTGTTCAACGTGCCTCATGGGTCCCCTCTCCCAACCACGTGGCCCACCTCTCCATACAGCTACGAGGGCACAGGGCGGTCCCTCTCCCTCAAGCTCATCCAGCAGCTCAGAGAGCAATCCAAAGGAGCCACCGCTGCTGCCATCTCCTCTCCCCTCCCCCACCTCCCCCACCTCCCCCACCTCCCTCCACCACCTACAGCTATGAGGGCACGGGGCGGTCCCTCTCCCTGAAGCTCATCCAGCAACTCAGGGAGCAATCCAAAGGGGCCGTCGCTGCTGGCGCTGCTGCTGGTGGCGGTGCTGGTGCAACCGCTGATGGTAGTGGCAGTGGTGGGGGCGGGGGGGTGAGTGTGCGGGTGCTGAGGGAGGTGGAGCTACAGGAGCCGATTCGGTATGCGGAGGGGGATCCCGTGGAGAAATGGTTGAACCACCTGCTGTGCCTCGACGCCACCTCTCATGTGCCGAAGCTACAGGCACGGTAAGTCACAGGCTTGGTAAAACTTAGGCTTGATTTGGTAAAGAAAAGGTCTGGGAAGGTGAAATAATCTGGGGGGAAATATCACTGCGGGTGCCGAGGGAGGTGGAGCTGCAGGAGCCGATCCGGTATGCGGAGGGGGACCCTGTGGAGCGATGGTTGAACCACCTGCTGTGCCTCGATGCCACCTCTCAAGTGCCCAAGCTGCAGGCGCGGTGAGCACTAGGTACAGGGGGGCACAGGCTCGGTGAGCACTAGGTACAGGGGGGCACAGGCTCGGTGAGCACTAGGTACAGGGGGGCACAGGCTCGGTGAGCACTAGGTACAGGGGGGCACAGGCTCGGTGAGCACTAGGTACAGGGGGGCACAGGCTCGGTGAGCACTAGGTACAGGGGGGCACAGGCTCGGTGAGCACTAGGTACAGGGGGGCACAGGCTCGGTAAGCAAGAGTTTCAAATTCTGCCTCACGTGTACCCTCTTTTCCCTCACACCCTCCCCCAGCATGCCTAACCCTTACCCAACGCCTTAACCTACGTATGCAATCTCTTCTATGTCAATCGCACAGCAATCCTTCTCCTTCCTCTCCCTGCTGCCTCTGTTTTTGAGGCGCCTAAATAGTCGTTGCCGTATGCAAGCTCTTCCATGTCAACTGCAACCATCCCTATATTTCCTCTCTCTTCCCCCCCCCCCCCAACTCACCCACACTGCCAGCATGCCGCATCCAGACGAGTGTGAGCTGCTTTTACTCCTTGGTCCATTACCATTACCGTTACCATTACTATTGCCATTACCATTACCATACCATTACCATTACCATACCATTACCATTGTCATTACCATTACCATTACCATTACGATTAGCAGTACCATTATCATTACCACTATCATTACCATTTCCATTACCACTACCATTACCATTACCACTACCATTACCATTACCACTACCATTACCATTACCACTACCATTACCACTACTATTTCCATTACCATTACCATTACCATTACTATTACCATTGCTATTACTATTACAATTACCATTACTACTACCATTATCATTTCCATTACCAGTACCATTACTACTACGTACCAAAACTACTACCAGTACCATTACCATTACAACTACCAGTATCATTACCACTACCATTACTATTACCATTACAATTACCACTACCATTACCATTACCATTACCATTATCATTAACATTACCATTATCATTTCTCCTTGATCAAGACGCATGACAACCTACAAACGTTCTTCTCCGTTTACTCCTTGCTGCTCCTCTACTCCTCTTCCCCCGACTCAACCATGTCTCACTCTCACGTGTACCCTGTTCTCCCCCAGCATGCCGCACCCAGACGAGTGTGAATTGTTCTATGTCAACTGCGTCACGCTCTTCTCCTTCCACTCCCTGCTGCTCCCCTGCTCTTCCTGTCCTTCCCCGCTTCACCCCACCCCCCCCCCCCCCCCCCCCCACCTGCCAGCATGCCGCACCCAGACGAGTGTGAATTGTTCTATGTCAACCGAGACACGCTCTTCTCCTTCCACTCCGCGTCAGAGCTCTTCCTCCAGGTACCTCCTCTCACACGACTTTTGAGGCGCCTCAAAAGTCTTCCTCCAGGTACCTCCTCTCACACGGTTTCCTTGTATTGTTGTCTCTTTCGTCAGATGTCTCGTTTCTGCTAAGCCAGTTTTTGAGTCGACTAAAAAATCGTCTCGTTTCTGTTAAGCCACACCACAGCATGGTCGGTCAATATGATTTCCGCATTGTGGAAAAAGCTTAAGTCTCACTACTCCGCCCTTCCCTCCATTTATTCTCGCCCTCAACTCTTCCCGTCATGTGACAGAGAATGATGGCACTATACGTGTCCTCTCATTATAAGAACACGCCCAACGACCTGCAGCTCATGTCCGATGCTCCAGCCCACCACCTCTTTGTCCTTCTGGGTACGTTGTGCACACACACTACATACAGCGTGCATAGTACATATGTACTGTGATTTCAATGTACGACCTGCAGCTCATGTCCGATGCTCCAGCCCACCACCTCTTTGTCCTTCTGGGTACGTTGTGCACACACACTACATACAGCGTGCATAGTACATATGTACTGTTATTTCAATGTACGACCTGCAGCTCATGTCCGATGCTCCAGCCCACCACCTCTTTGTCCTCCTCGGTACGTTGCACATACACATGACAGCGTACACTCTTCATGCACCAGTCGCCCTCCCCTGTCTCTTCCTCCCTCTCTCTCTTCCCCAGCTCTTTCTCTTCCTGGCCTTGCATTCACCAACGTTTCTCTGTCCTCCTCTCTCCCTGGCCTTCCCCCTTCCACCCGTCTGCCCGTGCACCCGTTCACCGATGCAGGTCCAGTGGACGAGTCACAGACTTCGCTACCTGATGTGCTGTGTGTGCTGCAGGTGAGCTTTGCCAGTGTATCATCAAGCAATATGAAATCCCTTCGTGTTAGATTGGAAGGAACGCCAGTGCTTTTCCAACACTCTCAGCCCCCCCCCTTCACTCCTCCCCCCTCTCTCCACGCCTCTCTCCTCCCTCCAATCCTCTCTCCTCTCTCCACTCCTCCCTCTCCTCTCACCCGCCACCCTTGCACACCAGGTGTGTCTAGAGGGGGAGATATCAAGGGCATCAGCACTCAAGGGTCTCTCACAGGGCCATCAGCCAACAGGCGACCTGCTGCCCTGGACACTCTCCCAGCAGTTCCAAGACTCTGAGCTCCCTCCCCACTCTGCTCATTACCCTCTTCCTTTTCCTCTCTCCACTCCTCTCAACAACAGGTGTGCTTGGAAGGAGAAATTTCAAGGGCATCAGCACTCAAGGGTCTGTCTCAGGGACATCAGCCCACAGGCGACCTGCTGCCCTGGACGCTCTCCCAGCAGTTCCAAGACTCTGAGTTTCCTTCACTGTCCTTTCTCTTCCCCCCACCCTGCACACCAGGTGTGCTTGGAAGGAGAGATATCAAGGGCATCAGCATTGAAAGGCCTCTCCCAGGGACACCAGCCCACAGGCGACCTGCTGCCATGGACGCTCTCCCAGCAGTTCCAGGACTCCGAGTTTCCTTCACTCTCCGGCGCTCGGGTGGTCCGGATCGCCGTTCATCCCGACCTGATGCACGCGGGATACGGATCCAGAGCCGTTGATCTGCTGTCCAGGTGATGATGCAATCTGAGCCGTTGATCCGCATCCAAGTCATGCCTCCAGCCTCCAGGCCATCTCAGCCTCCTCTTTGAGTCATGTTTTCTACATTCTTAAGTTACCTATCTGGTGTTGATGATATTTCTCATGTCTCGGTGCGCACAGGTACTATGAGGGTCAGTTGACAAGCATGGGGGAGGATAACGAGGAGGAGAGCGAGGGGGAGAGAGCAACAAGGTAGAGAAAGGGGAATGACTCTCTTAGAGGCGCCTCAAAGTTTTTTCTCTTTCATTCCTCACTTTTGTTGGTGTTTGCAGGTACTATGAGGGGCAGTTGACAAGCATGGGAGAGGATAGCGAGGAGGAGAGCGAGGAGGAAGAGGAAGGCGGGAAGCGACACTCCAAGGCTGTTCAAGAGGCTCGGGAGAATGGATCGGTACGGTACAGGGTATTGGTTGGTTTGGTATGGTAATCGCTGTCGACTCTTATGAGTATGATTTCTCGAATGATCGTCCAATGCGGAAGACGCATTTTGTGATGCCAATACCTTCTGTTTGCTTCTGTGACATTCCCCGTGCTTGGATTCGTGTCGTGCTTGGATTCGTGTCGTATAGCTTGGCGGGTTGGGTGCACTGCTTGGATTGGATTGCTTTGATTGACTTTTGAGAATTCTCAAAAGTCACTCCAACATAGCGGGTTGGGTGCACTGCTTGGATTGGATTGCTTTGATTGACTTTTGAGAATTCTCAAAAGTCACTCCAACATAGCGGGTTGGGTGCACTGCTTGGATTGGATTGCTTTGATTGCTTGAGTGTGGGTGTTTATCCGAATTGTTGTTAACCCTGCTACTCCCCCTGTCACCCCCCTGCTACTCGCTCGCCCCCAACCTCCCCCCTCCCTTCACCTCCCCAGGCGTCACTTCTGGAGGAGCAGTTGGCGCCGCGCTCGGGCCTGCCACCGCTGCTGCAGCTAATGAGGGGGAGAGTTGACTCAAGTGGCCCCATCGCCCTACTCCCAAACCCCACCGCCCTACTCCCCAACCCCACCGCCCTACTCCCTCCACCCTCTTTCCGCCAGGGTTCATTGTTGGAGGAGCAATTGGCTCCACGCTCGGGACTGCCGCCACTGCTGCAGCCGGTGGGGGAGAGGCGGCAGGAGCAGCTGCACTACGTGGGCGTGTCATTCGGGCTGGGGCAGCAGCTCTTCAACTTCTGGCGCCGGCAGGCGTTCGTTCCGCTCTATGTCAGGCAAACCCCTGTAAGCCGCACAGTACCGCACTGCACTGCACTTCACCACTCAGCGTCGCACAGCGCCATGGGCAGGAGCAGCTGCACTACGTGGGAGTGTCGTTTGGGCTGGGGCAGCAGCTCTTCAACGGAGGCAGCAGTTCGTGCCGCTCTATGTCAGACAGACACCGGTGAGCAAGTACTACAGGACCGCACGCACAGCATCGCGCCGCACCGCACAGCACCACACGGCACAGTGCGGCAGGAGAAGCTGTACTATGTGGGCGTGTCGTTTGGGCTGGAGCAGCAGCTCTTCAACTTCTCCTGTGATGTCGCTCCTGTGATGTCAGAGTCGAGTTTTGAGTCGACTCAAAGCTCGACTTCTGGCGCCGGCAACAACTCTCCTGTGATGTCAGAGTCGAGTTTTGAGTCGACTCAAAGCTCGACTTCTGGCGCCAGCAACAACTCTCCTGTGATGTCAGAGTCGAGTTTTGAATCGACTCAAAGCTCGACTTCTGGCGCCGGTAACAACTCTCCTGTGATGTCGAGTCGAGTTTTGAGTCGACTCAAAGCTCGACTTCTGGCGCCGGCAACAACTCTCCTGTGATGTCAGAGTCGAGTTTTGAGTCGACTTGAAGCTCGACTTCTGGCGCCGGCAACAACTCTCCTGTGATGTCAGAGTCGAGTTTTGAGTCGACTCAAAGCTCGACTTCTGGCGCCGGCAACAACTGACATCACAGGAGAGCACACGTGCATCATGCTCAAGCCCTTCCGGGTGATGGCTGGGGCCCTAGAGCCTCTTGATTGTCCTCTGCTCTGCTTCTCCTCTTCTCCTCTATTCCCTTCTTCCCCTGCTCACACCAGAGGGACATCACAGGAGAGCACACGTGCATCATGCTCAAGGCTCTCCGGAACAATGGCTTGGGCGGGCTATACTGCTTCTTATCGTCCTGTGTTTCTCCTCTCCTCCCTCCCACCCTCTCCCCTCGTGCCTTCCTTCCCTCACCACAGAGCGACATCACAGGAGAGCACACGTGCATCATGCTCAAGCCCCTCCGGAACGAGGACTTGGGTGCGGCTGACGCCAAGGACTCGTGGCTTGCATCCTTCTCTCAAGGTTGGTGGGCTCTGGGATTGAGGTTTGGTGGGTTGTGGGGGCGAGCACACGTGCGTGCATCATGCTCAAGCCCCTTCGGAGTGACGACTTGGGCCCAGCAGACTCCAAGGACTCGTGGCTTGGCTCCTTCTCTCAAGGTTGGTGTGCTGTTGTTGAGATGAGGTTTGGTGGATTGTGGGGGCAAGCACGCGTGCATCATGCTCAGCTCAAGCCTCCCCGGAACAAGGACTCGTGGCTTGGCTCCTTCTCTCAAGGTTGGTTGGGGGACTTCTGGGGGTGAGTGAGTGAGTGAGCGAGTGAATGAGTGAGCAAGCGAGTGAGTGAGTGAGTGAGTGCGTGAGTGAGTGTGTGTGTTTAGGGTGAGGGAGCCAATGACTGAGTCTGATGTCCTCTTTCCAATTCACCTCCTCTTCCTTGTCTCCCACCCTCCACCCACCAGACTTCCACCGTCGCTTCCTGTCTCTCCTCGGTTTCTCCTTCAGGCCCCTGCCGCCCGCCCTCTGCCTCAGGTACGCTGCACTCTCTTTTTTTCTCTCTCCCCAGCCCATCGTATATGCCTCTCTCTCTCTTGCCTGAATGAGGAGAGGAAAATTGCCTCTTTTCCTTCAGGCCCCTGCCGCCCGCCCTCTGCCTCAGGTGCAGTGTGCACGCCCCAACACTCTCTACCCTTCTGTCCCTCTCACAGCTCTCTTTCTATCTCCCTGTGTGACCCGCATATTGCAGCGTGCTTGCTTTCTGCCTGCCATGTCCCATCCACCCCTCCCTCGCTTTCCCCCCCCCTCTTCCCCTCCCCTCCCCTCACCCATTCACCAGCATTCTGGACCCACAGATTGAGGTTGCAGAGGCAGAGGCACGGGAGGGAGCTGTGCTGGCAGGGCTGATGGAGGGAAAGGGAAGGGAAGGCAAGCTTGGATCTCAGAACTGGGTGTTCTCGCCTCCTACCCCTCCCTTCCCCTCTGCTCCCCCACCACCGACCCCCATTCACCAGCATTCTGGACCCACAGTTTGAGGTTGCAGAGGCAGAGGCAGTTTTTGAGAATTCTCAAAAACCAGCTCTTGGCAGAGGCACGGGAGGGAGCTGTGCTGTGCTGGCAGGGCTGATGCAGGGAAAGGGAAGGGAAGACATGTTTCGAGCCATCTTAAAACTCAATACACTTCTTGCTATTTCTCGCTTCTCTCCCCCCATTCCTCCTTCCCTCCATTCACCAGCATTCTGGATCCGCAGATTGAGTTTGCAGAGGCAGAGGCACGGGAAGCAGTCGTCCCAGCAGGGCTGATGGAGGGGAAGGCGGCACTGCTGTCTCCGTATGATATGAAGCGATTGGAATCGTACGCCAACAACCTGGTCGATTATCACCTGGTAGGTTGTAACATTCCAGAGCCCACGCCCTGGTAAGGATGCCCTGCTGGTTACACCCTAGATGGTTGAAGATGCGCTGCTGTCGCCATACGATATGAAGCGACTCGCGTCGGACGCCAACAACAACCTGGTTGATTATCACCTGGTAATGATGCTTTACTAGGAGCACCCCTGACATTACAAGTCGCTCTCGTGCAATTTTCACTTGCACTTCACTCAAAGCAACGCAAGTTTCCTTCCCCCGTACCCACTCCTCCCAACCTTCCATGTCACCACCCCCTGGTTGCTTTCCCCAAATCAGATCATGGAACTTATTCCCTTTCTAGCCCGCTTCTACTTCCTCATTCTCATCCCTTCTTCACTCTCCCGCTTTTCCCCTCCTCTCCCCCCCTTCTCCTCTACCCCCCTTCTCCTCTCCCCCCCTTCTCCTCTCCCCCCCTTCTCCTCTCCCCCCCTTCTCCTCGCCCAATTAGATCATGGACCTCATTCCCCCACTTGCCCGCCTATACTTCCTGGGTCTCATCCCTGCATCGCTCTCCTATGCCCAAGCTGCCATTCTGCTCTCCTTCGGTCTACAGCATCACGAGCTCTCCACCATTGAGGTACGGCTGTAGCGTATATTGGCTGTAGCAAGCTGGCTGTAGCACACCCACGAATGTCATTCTGTTACGCCTGTAGCGATTTGTGTGGCTTTTTTTGTTTTTTTTTTTGGTAATGACCACCTTTCATCTGCATTGTCATAAACGGGCGAGCTTTTATTCTTCCCACTCGCTCACTTCCTCATTCCTCTGGCCAAATCTCAAACAGGCGAACCTTCGGCTGCCCGGGACGCAAGTTCTTGCCCTGTTCAACAAGGCGATTCGGAAGATTCACAGTGTTCTGTACGCTGCTGCTGCGCGCACCATAGAGGCTGCTCTGCCCAGGATCAAGGAGGTATGGATGTGCTGCCCTCCTCCACCGTTCCTGTGTCTCTGCTTTATGAGATCTTTGACTGCTCTGGCTGATGCTGCTGCCGCTGCTGCTGCGCGCACCATAGAGGCTGCTCTGCCCAGGATCAAGGAGGTACGTCAGTGCTGTATCCCTCGTGTTTTGAGTCGACTCAAAACACGTGCTGTATCTCTCTGCTGCTCTACTTCTACTCCCCTGCTGTATGTCAGCCTTCCCCTCCATTTTCCTTCGTCCCCCACCTATCTTGTTCGCCGTCCTCTACCCTGCCTCTCCCCCGACTCAACCTGCCTCTCCCCCGACTCAACCTGCCTCTCCCCCGACTCAACCTGCCTCTCCCCCGACTCAACCTGCCTCTCCCCCGACTCAACCTGCCTCTCCCCCGACTCAACCTGCCTCTCCCCCGACTCAACCTGCCTCTCCCCCGACTCAACCTGCCTCTCCCCCGACTCAACCTGCCTCTCCCCCGCCTCTCCCCTCCCCACCAGGTGGACCTGCATCCCCACCTCCAGTCAGTGGATGAGGTCCTGGCAGAGGCAGCAAGTCAGCCTTTTGCTCTGCTGAGCTCCTGTCCTCTGCCCCCTCCCCTTCCCTCCTCTGCCTCTCCACTGCCTCTCCGTTCTCTCCTCCCCACCAGGTGGACCTGCGCCCGCACCCCCAGTCAGTGGATGAAGACCTGGCAGAGGCAGCGAGTCAGCCTTCCCCTCCATTGCCCCTGTCCTCCGTCCCCCACCTCCCCTCTTCCCCTTCCTCTCCCCTTCCTCTCCTCTCCCCTCTTCCCGGGCCTGTCTTATCCCCACCAGGTGGACCTGCGCCCCCACCCCCAGTCAGTGGATGAGGATCTTGCAGAGGCAGCAGATCAGGCCAAGGTGAGTCAGTCGAGAGATAGACTTGTTTCTTTCATTTGCCACCTCACTATATCCATGTCGAAGCAATTTTAACTCTTTAGCTGCAGTGCCGAGGGCTGTGGTTATTGCACTATGTAAACATGATATTGTTTTTCTATGACTGTTGCCCCTGTAACAGAAGGTGATCAAATCCCGGCTGGAGGGGGCGGCAGAGCCTGGCACAGCCACCCTGCTGACGTCACTGACACCTGGACAGATGCAGGAGTTTGCGATCGACGGCCGAGATCAAGACTTTGAGGCTGCGATTGCTGCAGGAGGGGGGAAGCTTCCAGGAAGCGGTGTGCTGAGTATCAAGGCACAGGGAGGAGGAAAGAAGAGGGGTGGTGGTGGGGATGGGAATTTGGATGGTGGTGGTGAGGGGGGGAAGAAGAGGATGAAGGGTGGGGCAAAAGGCAAGGGGAAGGGTAAGGGAGGACGAGGGTAAGCCTAGGCAGGGTGATTAATCAAGTGTCGCATGATTACGCACAGCGTGTCTGTATGCTTTACCCGTAAAAGTTTGGGGAAAGAGAGAACAAGCACTAAGAATTTTGTGTCCGGCAATCATTGAGTTTTTTTTCATTTGATAACTTTCTACAGTGAGCACATCCGCCGAGGCAGGCCCAGCCACTACTTATTTCAATACCGATGCTTCCGTTTCGTGCCTCAGATTATTCTGAATATTCAACCTTGATACAGATACACCACGGTTCCATCCATTTCAGATGCGAAGGATGGCGGGAAATGCAGGAGACACTGTTTGGTGGCCCGTTGGATTCACTGACTGGCTGTGGCGCATCTACATTTTCCGAAGAACCAGGAGCTGCCAGCGCACACCGCATTCAAATTCAGGTGCCCGATCTCGGGCTATGCAGCGTGCGGATTGGTCAACCGCCACAAAACCTGCCCAGAGAAGGAACGGATTTTTACCTCAAGTCTACCCTGCATTTGTGTCCTTGATCATGCTCTCCCCTTCTGCTCACCTCCTCCACGATCTGACGGATGGACGAGCTTCGACAAGGCCCCGCCATCAAATCCACTTTCCGAAGCTTCTGGGTCATCGCCCATTTAGCGTGCGCCACGCAATCCATCAGAATTGGTTGCAACAACCACCTTCTCCTGAAGCTGACGAATCCCCGCTAGAAACGCTTGACGACCACCACACGTCACCCAAGCCACAAGCCCGTTGCGAAACGTAGTGGCATTGCTTGGCTAAAACTCACTCTTGAAGCTTCGAAATAAACGTTTGAATTCCGAAGATAACCCCTCCAACTCGGTAAACGTGGCTCTTATAGAATTGCTGGTGTTGTGGCTCAACTGGCTCAGCTTGCATGCGGCTGATTGGACTGCGGTTGGCTGCCCAATGGCTCCCCAGCCCAATATATCTCGGCATCGTCCAATCCGCTTCACGCTTTTGCCTTCCATGCTCCTCGGGAACAGGTTCAGGAGACCTCGGGTTTACAGACATGCTCTGGCCTTGAAATCACAACTGTTCTACAGTATTTAGCTTGGGATTGCTTCAGAGTGATTTTCTTCTTTTTCGGCTTCTCCTACATGCGTTCATCTGTCCTGGTCAGGGGTCAAATCTGCTGTGTACTGGTCTCGCTGTAGCTAGGTTTAGACCAGGCTACCTTCGAGCTAGTTTGCAGCCGGGTCACGTGAGAACCATGGAGGCTCTCGCAGCGACTGGACCGTCCGTGTGCTCCTTGCACCAGGTGCGTGCTTTTCCGACAGGCAGTCCAGAGCTCGCATAGAGATTGAAGTCGAAACTTGGTGATAGCAGGCTAGCTTGCTGGTCAGAGGGATTGAAATCGAACAGAAAAGGATGTGCGTAAAGCGCGTTAGGTTGCTGGTCGTAGGGATTGAAATCGATCAGAAAGGGATATGCGTGTCGCACACTAGCTTTCTGGTCAATGTGGCTTGCTCGGATTGGATCCGCGGGTATCTCTTTCTGACATGCGTTAGCTCTGCGTCGATGCTCCCCGTTAGTGACCAGCATTTACTAGGTATGGAAGGTACGAGATTCCGCTAGTACATTTCCCTCTTTTTCTTTCTATTAGCCTATAACTTGATATCAAGTATTGTTAAGTCGGTGAAAGAGCTTCTGCTACTATAACCAAGTGGGTTTTTAAAGAAACAAAGAAACGGCTGATCCAAAAAATAAATCTGCTCACACAACCTTTGTGTATGTGGTTTTGTTTTTCCAGGCTGCAGCGCAAGATCGCCGGTCCAAGCATGGAAGGAGGTCCCAGCAATGGCGGATCACTCGTCGCAATGACGATGCTTTTCGGGTACGTGATATTGGCTGGCATTCGAGAAAAGACAATCGTGGTTAACACTTGTGTGAAATGGACCCCCTTTTTGGATTTGCCTCTGACAATATTTTCACTTTGTCATCAAGTGTTGTTTGGAGGCTATACCAGAGGACGCTACATGCATACCTCCAGCTCTCACATAACGGATTTAAGAGACGAGGAATGAAAGTACCCTCGCCTGTTTCTCCTCCCTCACCCTCTTCTTTCTCGTCCCCCAACCCCATCTTTCCCTCCCCGCACCCCCTTCTTCCTCCACCCCTCCTCGCTTCCCCCCATTCTCCCATACCTTTCCCCTTCCTCATACAGCCAAGCTGCGCTACTTCCGGTACTGCAGCTGTTGCCACGTCAGCACTCCCCGTCCCACTGCAAGCCAAGCGCCTCTGGCTGGCTCCTTGCGCGGATGCCCTCAGCGCCCCGCGTGCCGCTTCCCCGCGCCCATCCCTCTCAGCGGAAGCACTGGCGGGCCGCACTCGTGTGCGCGCGGAAGCGCAAGCAGGCGCGGGAGCGGCGGAAGTCCCCCCACCGGAGACCAAGCTATACGACTACGTGGTTATTGGGAGCGGCATTGCCGGCCTCCGATTCGCGCTAGGCGTCGCGGCGAAGGGCACTGTAGCGGTGGTGACGAAAGCCGAGCCGCAGGAGGGCAGCACGAACTACGCGCAGGGCGGCGTGAGCGCGGTCCTCGATCCGCTAGATTCGATCGAGAATCATATCTCGGATACGATCGTGGCGGGCGCGTATTTAAATGACGTGGAAGTCGTGGAGGTGGTTTGCCGCGAGGGCCCGGAGCGCGTTCGCGAGCTGATGCGCATGGGCGCAAGCTTCGACCGCGGGGATGACGGGCGGCTGCTGCTTGCGCGCGAGGGGGGGCACTCGCACTCGCGGATCGTTCACGCGGCGGACGTGACCGGGCGGGAGATTCAGCGCGCGCTGCTGACGGCCGCGCAGAAGACGAAGCGGATCGACATGTTTGAACACCACATGGCGATCGACCTTCTCACGCGACAGGTGAGAGAGGCGTGGAGAGGAATAGAGAGGAGTAGGGAGGAGTAATGAAGAGATAGAGAGGAATAGAGAGCGTAGAGGAGGGCAGGGGAGTGACGGCGAGTGCTTAGATGTCTCAGAACTTGAAGACGAAGTGGATCGATATGTTTGAACACCACATGGCGATCGACCTGCTGACGTGGCAGGTGAGAGAGGCGTAGAAGGGAGAGAGGAGGAGACGTCGAGGCGAAGAGAGGGGAGGGAGACGGGATGGGGACATTGGAGTGGGCCACACAGAGGAGCAGAGAAGCCCTTTTCTATTAGGGTTAGGGGCAATGTAGGGCTGAGGCAGAGGCAGCGGCAGGTGTAGGGCAGAAGAAGCGCCAGAAGCAGCACCAGACACAGCGCCTGAAGCAGCACCAGACACAGCGCCTGAAGCATCACCAGACACAGCGCCTGAAGCAGCACCAGACACAGCGCCTGAAGCAGCACCAGACACAGCGCCTGAAGCAGCACCAGACACAGCGCCTGAAGCAGCACCAGACACAGCGCCTGAAGCAGCACCAGACACAGCGCCTGAAGCAGCACCAGACACAGCGCCTGAAGCAGCGCCAGAGGCAGCTGCAGAGGCGGGCATACGGCTTGACATCATTCCACTGAGCCAAACTTCTCCTCATTCCCCACAGCCCATTTGTGTCTCAATTTGTTGCATGGGGCCCTTTGTCGGTCTCGCTCACCCCTTTTTTCAACCCTTGTAGAAGAGCACGTGTTATGACGTGGAGGCACGGCACTGGACGAATAGACAGGGCAGATCGACTGAGTATCAATCTCTCCGCTATTTCCCCACGCTCCCACCACACCCCCCCCCCCCCCCCCCCCCCCCCCTCCCTTTATCACCACTGCAGGAGGACGGCGGGCAGAGCACGTGCTATGGCGTGGAGGCATTGGACAGAGAGACGGGGCAGATTATGCTTGAAGAAGCTCGAGCATCAGTAACCCCACTCTTTCCCCACGCTTCCCTCTTCCCTACCCTCCCCCTTTCACCACCCCTGCAGGAGGACGGCAGGCAGAGCAGGTGCTACGGCGTGGAGGCGCTGGACACGGAGACGGGGCAGATCAAGGAAGCAGAGCATCAACATTCCCACTCTTACCCCACTCCCTTCCTCCTTGGTATCTACAGCAGGACGGCGGGCAGAGCACGTGCTACGGCGTGGAGGCTCGGGACACGGAGACGGGGCAGATCAAGGAAGCAGAGCATCAACATTCCCACTCTTTCCCCACTCCCTTCCTCCTTGGTATCTACAGGAGGACGGCGGGCAGAGCACGTGCTACGGCGTGGAGGCGCTGGACACGGAGACGGGGCAGATCATCCGCTTTATAGCGGGATCCACACTGCTCGCTACAGGGGGAGCAGGCCACGTGTACCCCAACACCACCAACCCCACGGTACGAAGATTGTTTTTTTGGCACCTCCATTTTTGGAACCGGTTCATGTCTCGCCTGCACATGTTACTGTTCTCAAGATGCTTCAGTTTCTCAGTCTCCCAGTGTCTCACCGCCTATGCATATGTGTGTATGTGTGTGTGTATGTATGTGTGCAGGTGGCAACTGGGGACGGTGTAGCTCTGGCTTTGCGTGCAGGCGCTGTCATCTCAAACATGGAGTGAGTCCACTTCCTCTTCCTCTGGGTCTTCCCCATCCCCCTCTCCCCCCAATTTTCCTGCCTTTCCTCCCCGCTCCCCCCACTCAGTGCTGTCATGCCCCTCCCCCACTCCATGCCCTTCGCAACACCCTCATCCCCCTCCCCTTGTTTTCACCCCACCCCCACCCTTCCCCCTTCAGGTTCATCCAGTTTCACCCAACAGCCTTGGCAGACGCGGGTCTGCCCATCCACCCGCCCGGCCCGCGCCCCAACTCCTTCCTCATTTCCGAGGCCGCGAGGGGAGCAGGCGGGCTGCTGTACAACCAAGCCGGCGAGTGCTTCATGCTGCACTACGACCCGCAGGCAGAGCTCACTCCCCAGGACGTGGTCGCCCACGGGCTCAACTCACTCCTCTCTCTCCTCTTTCCGCTCTCCTCCATCCCCCCTCCTTCAGGTTCATCCAGTTCCATCCAACAGCCCTTGCGGACGCAGGCCTGCCCATCCAACCCCCAGGGCCGCGCCCCAACTCCTTCCTCATTTCCGAAGCTGTTCGAGGGGCAGGCGGGCTGCTGTACAACCAAGCGGGAGAGCGCTTCATGCTTCACTATGACCCGCGGGCAGAGCTCGCCCCTCGCGACGTGGTCGCCCGGTCCATTGACGACCAGCTGAAGCGGCGCGGCGATCTGTTCGTCTATCTCGACATCAGCCACAAACCGACGGACGAGATCCTCCGGCACTTCCCGAACATCGCAGCAGAATGCAAGCGGTGGGGGGTGGATATTACCAAGGACCCGATCCCAGTTGTCCCCGCCGCGCATTACATGTGCGGGGGGGTCCAAACGGGGTTGTTTGGGGAGACTTCGATCCGGGGGTTGTGGGCGGCGGGGGAGGTGGCATGCACGGGTCTCCATGGGGCGAATCGTCTGGCATCGAATTCGCTGCTGGAAGCGCTGGTGTTTGCGCAGAGAGCAGTCGAGCCGGCAATTGAACATGCGGTGGCTGCTGCGCCGCTGAATCATGTGCTTGCGGGGTTGCCTGATGGGAGGGATATGGATGGAACGATGTGGGGGGGGGAGGAGTGGGAGGGCGAGGTGGAAGGGGAGGGGGAGGAGGTGAAGGTGGTGGGGTTGAGCAAGGGGGATTCAGGAGCGGTTGCTGCTGCTGGAGTGACTGCCAAGTACAGGGAGCAACTTAAGGTGAGCCTTTTTGGAAGAGCATTCGTCATTACTATAGGTAGGCATCTGTTTTTAATGGACTGAGGGGCACGTTCATCGACTTAGTGTACGGATGGAAGTTATTTTTCCTCCTCAAACTTTCCCTTAGTTTTCTTTGACTTCATCTCCCTTACCACTCCATTTTCCACCCACCATTGTATCCCCAGGCTATTATGTGGCGCTACGTCGGCATTGTCCGATCCACCGACCGTCTCCGAATAGCCCAGAGGGAAATCGACATGCTGGCGTCCTCCTGGCGAGCTGACCTGGAGACCAATGTGCTGCTGCCACGTGGCGCCGTCTCAATGGAGACGTGCGAGATGGAGAATCTGATCAATGTCGCGTCTCTGGTCGTACGTAGCGCACTGAGGAGGAGAGAGAGCCGTGGATTGCATTTCACCACGGATTTTCCGGGGCAGTCAGAATCGGCGAGTCTGCATACAGTGTTGGTGGCGGGGTGTTTAGATGAAGAGGAGGATGAGTGGGAGGAGGGTGGAAGGGAGAGAGAGAGTGATAGTGATGGTGCGGGTGAATTAGAGGCGAGGTTCGGGGCCACGGAGAGGCTCGGGTGGACCACGTGGTGGAGGCAATCTGGGCCTGTGGTTCGGCAGACAGGTTCGGGTGCGGGGCAGGCTCGGCCAGTGCAAAGGAGAGCTGGTGGTGCAAGGAGACAGGGAGGTCCGCTGCGTCCGCAAGCGAAGCCGACTCTAAAAAGGAAGCCAGAACGTTTGGAGAGCCAGCCTCCGCCTCAATGAAAGGACGTGCTGAACATATGTCGGAATATGATATTATGTTCTGTTGCACAAATTGCTGTTATATTTCCATTAGTTTTAGTATTCATTGCTGAATTTATGTATTGTGGTGTATTTTGGTTTGCGTAGAAGCACGTTTAATATAAAGCCTGTGTTGACGTGACATGACGTTTACGGCAGGCGTCAAAATCGAGGTACCTTCGTGTTGAGGTGGAGAAGCTGAACAATGGTGGTGACTATCTAGCTCATTTACATATCCATTTCCTGTAGCATGATCCCGCGCATGCCGTTGCATGCAAGCATGGCTGCTTGTCCCCGCTTGTCTAGTCTTCGCTGCGCAGCAGAGCAGGGGAGGTTCGGGTTTGGTTTGGTGTGATGACATGGCACGATCCAGCGTGGCAGTCACTATCATTGTTCGGCTTCTCTACCTCAAGTCCAGTGTAAGAGAATGGCATCGTCCAAGGGTCGTACGTATGTCAGTCACTTTCGATGTTTTCAGGTCGACTGAAGAAGCATGGGAGAGTCCAGCGTGACGGGTCGCTGTCGTGCTGGCAAAGCCTCGCGTCGCGTGCGCTCGATGTCTCACAGCCTCTGCAACTGACGCTGGCAGTCGAATGAACCTTACAGCCGTGAGACAACGTTATCGGCCCGGCAATTGACGATGACGACCTCCGATTGGGAGAATCTTCTCGACTGCTCACGTGCTCGCTCATTGAAAATTTTGTGACGTTGCCATGCTTGAGCTATCTTATCGTCGCGCGTTGGTTCGGGTATCTCGAAACTGACTTGAGTCTTTGACGACGCATGTCGCGGCGGCGGAAGTTTCGTAAGTAGTTTCTCAGCCGCCGCGGAGAAACAGGAGACAATGACGTGTTCCGGAAGGGACGCACGCACAGATGGCAGCCCGGTTTGAGGTGATATGTGGAAAGCACGCATTTGCTACGCGCAAGGGGGAGGGGGAGTTTGAGGACTTGTGCCGCCGCGGTGAAAAGAGATGACTGACGAACGTCACGGCGAGGGTCATTGCAGCTTTAGTAAGTATAAAATCTTTCGTCCAGACCATTATCCGTTGTGCTTAATCTCCTGGTCTTCCAGCTGTTCTTTGATCCAGTCTAGAAGATAAATCAATTTCAACCAATTCCATAGTCAGTTTCGTTGAGACTGGTTCAGTACCTGCGGCCGACGCGCTTCTGACCGACCCAGCGATTGGACTATTGTAATCTGTTCCGGATCGACCTGACGTCAGCATCATGCCTCAGTTCAAGCAGTGGCTTCAGCCGCCGAACCTGGTTCACCTTGCCTGTGCGGCCATGGCAGAGCTGATCGGAACCATGTTCTTCGTCTTCGTTGGCGTGGGGTCAGTGGCCGTCTCAAGTGAGTAAAAAACAGCTCTTGTCTGAGTTCCGTCCATATAGCCCACATGCCGAACCTGGTTCACCTTGCCTGTGCCGCAACGGCGGAGCTGGTTGGAACCATGTTCTTCATCTTCGTTGGCGTGGGGTCAGTGGCCGTCTCAAGTGAGTAAAAAGCAGCTCTTGTGCGAGTTCCGTCCATATAGCCCACATGCTGAACCTGGTTCACCTTGCCTGTGCCGCAACGGCGGAGCTGGTTGGAACCATGTTCTCCATCTTCGTTGGCGTGGGGTCAGTGGCTGTCTCAAGTGAGTTCAATTCAAGCTGGTGTTCTCCCCTTTCCATGGTTGATTTACTTCAATCTGGTCTGGTTCAAGAATCTGTGTGAAGTTGGGCCTTACAAAATTGGAAAAGTTTTGGGTGCTTGCTTCATGATGAACCTGGCAGATGTTCTTAGTTTTCTCTCCCATCTCATTTTCTCCTGTTGATCTTCAGGTGAGTTCGTTCAGGTTCTGGATGTGACCCGCATAGTCTCCATACGCATTGCGTTTTGAGACTTCTGAAACTTGAGATGGTTGGCCAATATTCTTTTTCCTGTTTCTCTCTTTCTCTGTTGAATTGCAGGTGAATTCGTTCAGGGACTGGATGTGACCCGCATACTCTCCATTGGCATCGCACACGGTCTTGCTCTCGTGGTTGCTGTGGGGGCTGCATCAGGGATTTCAGGGGGACACATCAATCCAGCTGTCACACTTGGCATGCTAGCAGTGGGCCTCGTTGACGTCATCACAGCAGCAGCCTACGTGGCAGCGCAGCTGATAGGCGCTGTGTTCGGTGCTGGTCTTGTTAAGGCAATAACTCCTGCCAGTACGCATGTAAGTCCCTTTCTGACCACCCCAGTCATTCCCTTCACTGGGTTTTCCCCCCTCTCTACACCCCAGCACAACTCTTCCCTTCCCCTGCCCACCCTTAACCCCCCCACCCCCCCATCCCCTTGTCTCCCTTCCCCGCCTTCCCTCCTCCCCTTTCACCCCATTTCCTTTCCAACCTTCTCTTCAGATTTTGTGCAACTTAACACCAATTTTTCTGTCTCTCATCCGTGTGTCTCCTCTGCAGGACGCTCTTGGTGCACACGTGCTCGGTGCCGGGGTCTCTGTAGGCCAAGGCGTCCTCACTGAAATCATTCTCACAGCCATTCTAGTCTACGCAGTCTTTGCTACTGCTGTCGACCCCAAGGGTCCGTCCCACCTCGCTCCGATGATGATTGGTTTTGCCGTGCTTGTGGATCACATAGTGGGTGTTCCTCTAACGGGAGCCTCCATGAACCCAGCCCGTTCCTTCGGCGCTGCTGTCTGGTCGAATGTGTGGGAGAACCATTGGATTTATTGGGTTGGTAGTATAATTGGTGCTTGTGTTGTTAGTGTGGCGTACTGCCTGGTGTTTCTGGTGCCTAGGGAGTATGGGGATAAGGTGAAGGCTTTGAGTCCTTCTAGGGCTAGCAATGCCCGCCATGATGAGAGCAATGTTAGTATTACTGTCCCGTAATTGCTTATGTAACTAAGCTTCTCTTGCTCTCCTTGATGTCCGTTGAACCTTACCACTTATCATGGTTGTTAGCACTAAAATTGTGGCATCGGAAGGTACTTGACGGTAGCCATGGGTGCATGAAGTGAGAGTACCGTAGGTGGTAGCCATGCGCCTCTGGCTCTTGTCACTCAAGTGATGGGCCAAATTGAACCGGAAAACTTGGATAACTAGGAGTTGTTTGGTGTCGCCATTTGTCTCACCTCTTGTAATGTACGTAGTACGAGACATGCTTTATGAGCGCAGAAGACAATTTACCTGCGGTCCGTCATGCAGCTGGAGGTGTCTATTGCCGAATCATATTGCTTGAAGGATCTGCGATTTGGTTGCCCCAGATGACCTGAAATTTCCCCCGATTCTGCTCCACCTCAACAGTTTTACGAACTTCGAAAATGTTTCGCTAACCCTGCGACGCGGGAATTCCTACCTGACATGCATCAGCGCGTCGCCGAACCGAAACTGTTTCTTTCTGACCTCGGTACTGTACCCTCATCTTCTCTATTCGGCTGGTGGTGTGGCTGACCGCCCCCCTGCCGAACGAATCGGACGAATCGGAGTCAAAAGTTCAGGATGTCGGTTGGGGCGGAGATTGGGGGGAGTGCTGTACCTGCCCATTGGCAGCTGCCCGCAATTCCTCGTCAGCGCAATCCCTTTCTTTTTCTGACCGAGCCTTGTAACATACAGTACAGCCTCCACTTTGAATGTGACTCGAATATGATACCCTGCCCCCGATTCACCCGTAAGGTTATTTTACCTATCACGGTGTGTGATAAGGGCGTTGTAACGCTCCTTTGATTTGCACTGCACCATGCCTGTCCCCCGAGTCTCCCCTCATGCAGTGTGCCAGGAAGCAAGCCAACCATCTGTAACGAGACATCCTGACCGCCGAATGCTTTTCTTCACCAACCACCACAGCATCGGATGGTCGACGTTACCGGCACGAAGGAACATCCGATTCGGTTCATCACATGTGCCGAACTGATCGGATGTTCCTTCTTTTCCCCCTCCTCTTCCCCCCTCACCCCCCCGCCTCCCCCAACCTTCTCCCTCGCTTCCCTCCCCCCGGTGCTTCTCGATTGCCCCAGTTCTGATTTGCCCGAGCCTACTTAGCCCCGCCTCAGTTCCCGCAACCAAGAAAAGTCCCGCCCGCAGCATTCCTCAAGCCATGTGTTGCGCTGCAAAGCGGTACAGCGCAAAGCCTGGCTGTTACCGTATGGGAAAGCACACAACCGAAAAAAAATATGTAGCACACCCACCTTGCTCCCACCTCGCTATGCGCTGTCCACCTAACCTGTCTAATTTCTCCTTCCGCGCTCCCTGAGTCAGCAGCACGAGCACGAGACTACCAGCCCGCACATTTAGGAACCCACCAACACCCACACCCCTTCTGATACGAAGCCGATATAAAACTTTGTTCTTAGGATTGATGTGTTTGCCTTGTAGCCCAGCCCACAAAGCACACGAGCTGCCTCAAGTTCCCTCCATTGCGCAGTTGATATACCTGTACGTACAACGCTTGTGCTCACACAGCACACGCGGCGCTCTATTTATCCTCCTTTTTCGGCTCAGTTGCCCGGTTTAAGTTAGCACCTTTTGGATTTCCAAGCTGCGAGAGACCTTCGCGCGTATGCGCCCTAAAGGCGCTTTAATCTCGTTCACCATGAAGCTTCGGTCACTTTTCGTCTTAGCGTTCCTAGCCGCGATCGTGGTCGCATCTCCATCCCTCGCCACGCACAAGCGGCGCGAGCTCCAGGAAGGCCTCCTTTTGGCCAAGAAGAGTCAGAGCTTATACCGTAACAAGGAGGTGAAAGGCTCTGGAGGCGGGGACGGCGCAGGTGGCGCCGCGAGAGGCGCCGCAGATGGCGCTGCTCCCTCGCTGACGATCTTCTGCGCCCCGAAGCCGTACGAGTCGGTGCTGAGCCCTAAGGATCGCGCAGTTGACAACCAGCGCCGCGCGCTGCTGTCGTGGCTGCGATTGACTCCGGCTCCTAAAATTGTCCTTCTCGGGAACGACACGACGTTTCACGCGCTCGCGCGGGAGTTCCCGACGCGCATTTCCGTGGACGA